TGGAAGAGAGAAACAAAAAAGTGATTAGAATGAAAATCGTGCTAATGCTTAAAAAAGTTAATTTTAATGTGCAGAATTCTATTTATAAATAATAAGTAAATTTGCATATATCTGCTTGAAAAAGATGATTGTGGAAAGAATTCGCTGATTCTTAAACACTTTAAGTTTAGTTAAGTTTTAGGTTGCAGTGTAGAACAAGAATCAGACACTCTCTTAATCCTTCCATCATCCCTTCCTGGTTAGTTCTGCTTCTTTTGTGATTTGAGCTGCTCTGATCTTTTCGGAGATATGAGCGCTGCAGAACCTATTTAATGCTCGTATATGTATTCTCTACTTGGCTTGTTAGGAAACCACAAGTTGACATTGTGGGTGTCAATCGCATAAAAAGACAAACACGCAGACATTTGCTTGACGATGACCACAGTAGAGTAAATCGTATCCTTACAAAGAGAGAGAGAGAAGGAAAAGCACTGGCAGTAATGTCAACACTAAAACAGAAGCGTGCAAACAACCGAGGCACTAGCAAGCGTGTGACGCCAACGAAACATTGTGGATTTTTCTATTAGAGTGCCTTTAATAAAACGCGTCACGGCTTAATTTCCGTGCGCAAATATCAACAAGCGCTGAGGTGGGATGGGAGGGTGTTGGGTGTTGCCAACAATAGCATTGCTGAAGACACATGGAAGGGGGGTTAAGCGCGTCCTAATGAAATTACAACGGAACAGACAACACGATGAGGATAACAAAACAACGTGAAGTAGAGCGCAGAGCAGTAGAGGACGCTGGCAGGATGGCAAGAAAGTAAGCAAAAGTAGCAGCGGAGTCAACTAAATCTAAGCTCATTTAATGCGTTGCATAAGCGACTTGCCGACTTTGTCAGACTGTCTCTCCGTCTCGCTCTCTAGGCTGCTGCCGACTGCCAATTGCAAGTGCAAGCAACAACAAAAACTACAACAACAATGCGAGTAGCAGCTACATCAGTGGCAACAACAGCAAAAACAACAACATTGTGAGTGTGTCGGCATTTGCACTTTTACGTTTATCCTGAGGATAATTTAACACCCGTACAAATGCAAACAAATGTGCGCGCGTAGACAGCAACAGACACACTCACACACACATACACAAAGAGAGAGTAGCACATATTCATGCACACTAACATCACGATAAGTGTGTAAAAATAAAAATAAAAAAAACATTTATTTACTTGCAAGTAATCCCCGGTAATGGCTTTTTAAAACAAATCCGCTGCGGGCCTGTAAATGAACCAGCACGGCAATTAAATTTCAAATATCAACATACACACAGTCGTGCCAGTATGTGAGTGTGTGTGTGTGTGTGTGTTTAAGCTTGTGTGTGCGCCCTTCGTAGTTAATTAAACAAACATTTTCCGCCAGTGTGCAGATAAAAACGTTTTAATTAATGGCCGAAAGGCGTTGCATCGTTTGGTTTCAACTCGCGACACCTTAAAGTATGCAATGAAAAATTGTTAAATACTTTGTTTTTCACCTCCCAACACCAAACATCAGGGAAAGTGTGCGCGATTTTTCAATATCCTGTTGTTGCTCCATCGAATAAAGCGGGCCCGGCGCCACACCCCCGAAACACCCTCTACACACACCATTCGCATTCGCTACTACAACCCCCTTTAATACCCAGAACAGTGGAAGGCAACCATAAAGTTGTAGACTTTTTTAACCTGCTGAATCGATTTTGATATTATGTAATATGCTTGAGACAAAGAGCCTCTGCATTGGCCTAAGTGCGTTCCTATTGTATTTGACAGCCGCCTCACCCAAAAAAGGGTTTTTTGGAGATGGCCTTGCTTATTTATTTTATAAAAATTTGTCTCATATTCAATTTATTTTTAATACTTTGTTATTCTTTATTTATTTATTTATATGTATGTCAATAAACATTGACTGTCGACATAGGGAAGGCATAAAACAGACCTAAGTAGAAGAAATTAAAATAATATCTAATAATAATATATAGATATATATAACATATAGATTACGTGTGCAAAGTTTGCTTTATGTAGCTGTAGAAATGTGGACAGTATTGACAAAATTCTGGGGGGAGAATTAAAAAAAATAAATTAAATAAACTATTCCTTTCTCAGACCTAAAAGAATCTGGAAACCAACTTATTTCAGCTTTTATAGTTTTTGAGATCCTTGCGTTCATCCAGACAGACGGACGGACATTGCTAGATCTATTCTACTTTACGGGGTCGGAGATGCTTCCTTCTGCATGTTACATACTTTGCACAAACCTAATACTTGTATACCCTTTTTAATCGTCTTTAGCTACTTTACAAGCCTATACATATAAAGTTAGTGATTCTCTTCAATATTTAGATTTATTTTAACATAACATTCTGTTATGCTGTTTTTATATTTATCCTAAAAGATTTCTTATAAAGATAAATATAAATGTGTGTAATAATGATAATAATTATTTATATTTAAAGGCCCCTCTATCTACCTATCTAACTATCTATCTAGTATCTATTCATCTCTTTATCTCTGTATATCTATCTAACTATACTCGTATATTTATCTATCAACTTTCATGTATAATATATATTTTCAATCCCTAACATTTAATTAATCGCCTTTAGCATTCAAGATTTTGTAAATTTAAAATCCAAAATAATATTGTAATTTACATACCATTTTTCTTGAACAATATTATGATGGACATTTTTTGATATCTCGCCCACTGTGCTCTTCATGCATTGTGACACATGGTCTCGTGTTGACGCGCCATAAAATATGCAATGCATGCAGTATGTCAGCAACGACCTTTTTTCGTGGTTGCCCTTTTTTTGTTTGTGTGTGTGTGTGTGTGTGTGTTGGCCTCCCCTTAGCCCCTGCCCTCTGCCCCCTTTCTCCTTAGTAGAGCTGACAACAAGTCATTGCACATGTATGTGTGTGTTTTTTCTGCCAGCATTTTGGGCTGAAACTATCAATAATGCCACGCCCATTGCATCCATACGATACGTTGTGTATATAAAGTGTTTTGCTTTATGACTTTTGATGTTGTTCAGCATTGGAAAATATTTTTAATATGCTTCAGCGATTGCAACAAAAACGAACCAAAAATTGTGAAAGAAAAACAAACTCTTACATTGGTTTACCTACCTATTGTGGGTTTTTTTCTTCTTCTCATTGTTGGGCATGGAAACGCATTTGAAACAGGTGCCAGAGTGGTTCGACCTCGACCATTGTTTGTGTTGAGACGCTTTAATGCCGCTAAATGACCAAATTCAGTCGCCATGTCACGTAGTCGAGTCACTATTGTTGATCCAGGTAGACCTAACAGGAATGGACATACTATTTATGGTCTATAGATGGACACACCACACGGAACGATGGACGGATGGTGGAGTTAGAGAACAGATAGTTGGAATGACAGTCAGTGTTCTCGACTGGCAGTTTGCCACACACTGACACACACATATGCACATAAATTCAATCAATTGGAAATTCCATATCACTGAAAATATTTCAATATTTATGCAAAATATTTACGCAGACGCAACGTTCATGGCACTTTGGATTTTGGTTGGGATAATGCCATGAAATAGGAGAGAGGAAGAGGCAAGAGGAAAAGACAAGGCTTAGGGTTAAGCGCAGTCAGAATTTTCAGTCTATCTCTATCTGTGCATGCATATGTGTGTGTGTGTGTGCGGATTCCAAATAAAAACATTACATTGATTTAATTTATATACATACACATACTGTGTGTATTTGGTTTTGCACTCACTATACTTGAATGCGTCAGCGAATATTTGCACAAAATATGCAATACAATTATTGCTGAGGCTTTTCCAATTTAAAACTGTGTGAATTGCGCACGAAAGGATAATGAATTGAAACGTTTATATGAAAAATCTGTGAATATGAATAAATGAATAGGAATCACATAAAGGAGCAAAGCCAAAACAAATACAAATACACATGAAAATCAAAGCAAGTGGTTAATTGAACAAACATTTATTATGCCCAAGGATCAAACCGATGCTTAATCAAGGATTATAAATGACACACTATACATATGCATGTGATAAGTTCATTAAATACAGACATTGTCAAAAGTTTGACAAATTAGAAATTGGTAAAGTTTTATTGAATCCTAAAAGGAAGCCATATTAGGTTCTAAAGTAATGGTGCTGCTGTTCTTTTAAATAGACACATTTCGTACAAATATAGGATTATTGTGGTACCACAGAGCTCTAAACAGCATCGTCCTCTCCGGATCAACTTGGCATCACTTCAACTTTAAACGGCCATGACTAAAAATTAATCAATTTTTTCCAGAAGTCTCTAAAAATGTGAAGTAATGTGTCCTAAATTTTAGGTCATTCTTTTCTGCTCACATTTAAGGTACTGTGTCTTAAATTTGTAGATAATTTTTGGTCCTTTTGGACCCTATAATTTTTTGACCTGACTACTGGCCGGGCCTGTGCAAAAATTAGAAACTTTGGCATGATTTTTATAAAGGAAGGAATAGAAATAGTTTCCCCCTCCTCTTCACTGTTTCTGCACAAATTGTTCACGCATCGTTCTTAAGATGTTGACTATACATTTCTTTCTTAATCTGTCTTAAAAGGGATACCCAACAATATGATTCTACGCGGAACAAAGATTTCTTGTTTGTGTAACCCAATAAGTTTTAGCCCGTCGTACATCATCAATCATAAATTATTTCGGCTTTTTAGTTAGACTTGCAATACTTTTCTGCTCTATATTTCTAAAATATATAAAGGCTTGTTTATTGAATTGGCTTACAAAGAGCAAGGATTGTTTGGCTTAAGAATTATTAATTATTAGCGGCTTGTTACAGAGTATCTGGAATATTGAGCTTTATTAAGCTTTATCAACGAGTTATCCTATAATAACTATAATATTAGAGGTATAATTTGATGATTAATATACATTTTATCAAGAAAATAATAACATGCCTAAATTCTTTATCTTCTTCTTATTTTTGCAGATACAAAACGGAAGTTGCGGGGAAAAGTCTTCCGGTGCTGACAAATCTCGACAAGGGCCGCTATGGCGTCATAGTTTTCGAGAATCTGGACAAGTACCTCAACATGGACAAGTGGAATCGCGAGCTCCTGGACAAATATTGTCGGGAGTACTCGGTGGGCATTGTGGGCTTTGTGAGTCCCAGCGAGGAGACGCTTGTGGGTGCACAACTGCGTGATTTTCCACTATTTGTGCACACAAATCTGCGACTGCGAGATGCGAGCCTGAATCCCGCTTCGTCGGTGCTGCGTTTGACGCGAGCCGGCGAGACGGCGTGGGGAGCCTTGCCCGGCGATGACTGGGCGGTCTTCCAGCATAATCACAGCACGTACGAGCCGGTGGAGTGGGCGCAGCGCAACACACAGGAGTATCCGGCGGATAGTGTGGGTCTGGTGCAGCTGCCCTTAACAACGGTGCTGCAGGATCGTGGACAGTTCGATGGCATACAACGTGTGCTCTTTGGCAGCAGTTTGCGCTTCTGGCTGCATCGTCTAGTCTTCCTCGATGCGCTCTCGTATCTGAGTCATGGCCAGCTAAGCTTGAGCCTGGATCGCATGATACTTGTAGATATCGACGACATATTTGTGGGTGAGAAGGGCACTCGTCTGCGACCGGACGATGTGCGGGCTCTGGTTGCAACCCAGAAGATCATTGGCGGCATGGTGCCCGGTTTTCGCTTCAATCTGGGCTTCTCCGGCAAGTACTATCATCATGGTACACGTGAGGAGAACTTAGGCGACGATTTCCTGCTGCAGAACGTCCACGAGTTCAATTGGTTCTCTCATATGTGGAAGCATCAGCAACCCCATCTCTATGACAATCTCACCCTGCTCATGGCGGAGATGCAGTTGAACTATGCTTTTGCCAAGGACCATAATATACCCACGGACTCGGGCTATTCCATATCGCCGCACCACTCGGGCGTCTATCCGGCCCATGAGCTACTCTATATGGCGTGGAAGCGTGTGTGGAATGTGAAAGTCACCTCCACGGAGGAGTATCCGCATCTGCGACCAGCACGACTGCGTCGGGGCTTCATTCATCGCAACATAATGGTGCTGCCTCGTCAGACCTGCGGGCTCTTCACCCACACCATGTACATAGATCGCTATCCCGGCGGACGGGACAAGCTAGATGAGTCCATACAAGGTGGCGAGCTGTTCCAGACCATTGTCTATAATCCCATCAACATTTTCATGACGCACATGTCCAATTACGGCTCCGATCGACTGGCGCTGTACACATTCCAGTCCGTCATTAAGTTCCTACAGTGCTGGACGAACCTTAAGTTGGCATCCGCACCGCCCATACAGCTGGCCGAGATGTACTTCCAGCTGCATCCCGAGGAGGTTGATCCCGTCTGGGGTAATCCCTGCGATGATGTGCGCCACAAGAAGATCTGGTCCAAGACCAAGAACTGTGATTCGCTGCCCAAGTTTCTGGTTATTGGTCCCCAAAAGACGGGCACCACAGCCCTCTACACATTCCTCTCCATGCACTCGAGCATTGCGAGCAACATCGCCAGTCCGGACACCTACGAAGAGGTGCAATTCTTCAATGGCAACAACTATTATCGCGGCCTAGACTGGTACATGGACTTCTTTCCATCGGAAACATTGCCCAACACTAGTTCGCCCATGCCTACAACACTGAACTCGCCGCGCTACATGTTCGAGAAGAGTGCGACCTACTTCGATGGCGAAGCGGTGCCGAAGCGGGCGCATGCGTTGCTGCCACGCGCCAAAATTGTTACGATCCTGATATCGCCGGCTAAGCGGGCTTACTCCTGGTACCAGCACCAGCGCGCACATGGCGATGTAATAGCAAACAACTATAGTTTCTATCAGGTGAGTGGAGGTGCTCTCTCTTTTTTCAGCAGATCGTCCAAGTGTGGCTCTTTAGTTTTTTGGAAGATTGTCGAATTTCAAATGCGTTTCTCAGTATAGGACAGATTTTAAATAAAGATATAAGAGTGGAAAAAAAAAACAACCTCGAGTACTTTCACGCGACATTTGTATAAGCAAGTGGTAGCTTGCCGTCTTGGCAGACCCTAACCGTTTGAGCCTTCGTAAAGGTCTGGCAGGGAGTATTCCTCTTATATTCTACGTATGTCTCAGTACCCTGTCGCTTTATCTACTTGTGTGCCTTCGGTGAAGAGGTTTAGGGTTCAGTGAAGGGTCGAGGCGGGGGCAGATAGTTATATGCCGTAATTCTCGGTTTGCGGCCATCCCCCAAATCTGTGGAGGCTCTCAGTGTAAATAAAGCAGAGCAAAAATATTTGAAACCATATTTTTGAACCAACGTCAGAGTTGGGTGCGAGTCAATAACGATGCTTCAACCTTCTTGACCTTTGAATAAAATAAAGTATCGGCTCACCATCATACTTGTACTCTTAACGCTCTTCAACTAAGTCCCTTCTCAGGCAAGATCTTTACTTTGTATTTACTGAAACGTCCAATTTTACAAGCTTTCTCGATTTCGTTTATAAAATGTTTTTATTTCAAACCGGGAGGCACCAAGTAGGATTCTGGGGGCCTTGTAAGACTCCTTGTACAAATTCCTATGAATTCCTTGGCTTATTATTAAATCTGCGAAGTGCCAGCGAGGGAGCAAGAGATATTATGCTTTAGAGAGTATGCAGTGGGTCGTTCAGGTCTGGAAGGAAAGGTAAACCCTTCTCAATTCCTTGGATCTCTTATGCCATGCTGAGTTGAAGAATTTTGATACAGTCTAGCTATGACAGCTTTAATAGTTCTCTAGTATTCTATACAAACTAGCACTCTTAAGTGTCTGTCTATTTCCTCTACCTGTTTTCCATAACAGCAGGTTGTTGTTTGGCACTAAAGTGAATAATTTCAGGCTCGTCTAGTTTTTATGTCTAAATGCACACTCGACCCTCCTGATTTACTGAAATGTATTCAAAGTAATCGCTTCTGGTTTTACGTAGTTGTTTGTTTCCCCATTTGTGTGGTCTTTAATTAAGCGCGTAACAGAACCGAATGGCCTGCATATCCTGATAGGGGCTCTTATGCTCTTACCAACTTTTGTGCTTTACGTACGAGTAGTCAGATAAGCTGATTTTAATGTTCTAACTCATTTGTTGCTGCTGTCCAGATGCCTAGATGCTTGGATGCCTGACTGCTGGCTGCATGCCCAACACTCTGCTCGTATTTGTCCGTCCAATTCGCTATTTCCGTCGTTGACTGCATAACTAAACTTGCAAAGTTTATGCAAAACAAACCCAGTCCGGTTCGGCCCGGTCTGGTCTGACCCGACTCGGTCTGATTCAATCTGCTCGTCAATACTGTGCCTGTATGCTCCCAGTTGGCAGCTTTGCACAGCAAAGTGTCGGGCTGGCAACAAACAATGTCCTTCCGTATCGTATGGACCGACCAACTTTAAAAACGAATTTCATTTGGCACCACAAAATGGCTTTTCTATTCAATTTTGAATGACTGTGTGCGAGTATGTGTGCTGTGTCCCGAAACCCGCCCACTTTTAATTTGAGGCACTGCAGCAGTGACAGGGGCAGGGGCAGAGGCAGTAGGAAGAGCAGCAGTCGTTGCCAGAATTCCTCGTTGCATTGGCATCATTTTTCGATTTGTGGCCAAGTCCTCCTCTGCTGCACTCAATCGTATTGTGGCACGTGCCACACACACACACACTCGCACAGAAAACAGATTGCTTTGACACATTTCAACTTAATTCCACTCGGAGCATATTTATTTGCACCTGATGATGACGATGGTGTTTGGGTCTGGTCTGGTCTGGACTGGACTGGACTGGGCTCGGCAAGCAACTTGCAGCTTGAAGCCTTGCCAGCAAAGTCAACATGTGTTAGTGGGTCGATTAAAGTTCCAAATGCTGCTCCTTGTGCTTGTTTGCTCGACCAAGTGTCGAAAGTTCTACAACGGCAATGCTGCAGTCGGCTGACTGGGCAACACGTTTATGACATGCGTTTGAACCCGGTCGGGCACTCAGAAGTTTTCAAGCATCTTTTAGGAAGGGACAGTGGACAGTGGATTCTTCGTTCGTGTCAGAAACAGACGCACACACTCACTCACTCACTCATACTCGTATCTTCGGCCACTCAGCATTTTTCGCACAATTCGAAATTCGACAGTATTTATTTTAGCCTTTACGACGAGCCACTTCTTATCCTCCTGCTACTCTGTCTCCTCTCCTATACTCACTCTGGTATTTTATGTTCTACTTTATTTTTGTGCAGGTCATAACCGCAACCGATTCGGCACCGAAAGCACTCAAGGATTTGCGCAATCGCTGCCTTAATCCGGGCAAATATGCCCAACACCTGGAACACTGGCTGGCCTACTATGCCGCCCAACAACTGCACATCATCGATGGCGAACAGTTGCGCCTCAATCCCATCGATGTGATGAACGAGCTGCAGCGCTTCCTGAAAATCCAACCGGTTTTCGATTATTCAAATCACCTGCGCTACGATGTGAAAAAGGGCTTCTTCTGTCAGGCTGTCAGCGAGAAGCGCAATAAATGCTTGGGCAAGTCGAAGGGACGACAATATGCGGCCATGGATGAACGCAGCGCCAAGCTGTTGCAGCGGTGAGTAACACGCTCCACATGCCCCAAACACCCACACCCACACCCGCACATAAAATATCCAAATGGGCGGGGGCCAACAAAAAAAAAAGGGTTGTCGCACAGTGGTCCTACAATGCTATTCAAATACAGATGCTAGCAGAACGACTTCAATATGCAGCGTTTTGATGCGAGTGGAATACAATAGCCTTTCCATAAAGCAGGACTACAAGTATTACAGGAAAACGGGCGACAAAGAGCAGCGAGGCACCCAATAAAGGGTATTCTTTATATTTTCGTTGCAATCCAGTACATTTTCGAGGAGAGATATTTGTTGTTTGCAAAAATGTAGCATACTTTTTAGCGACATCTTCCTTTGTATTACAGAATAAGGCACTCTTAACTAGATAGAGAGTCGTTTTGAAAGTTATATACAGGCGAATAGAAACAGCAGTGCCTCAGTTGTTATTCTGGTACTAATTGTGTTTTCACTTCCAAAATGATAATAATGCCAATAAGACAAAACCTTAACCTAACAAAATGAGTGCTTAGACTTTTAAGTCTCACATTTTTCAAATGCATCGTCGTTACCGGGAATCAAGAGATATTTTAATATAAGACTCTTGAGAACATATACCAAAAGCGCCTTTTTGACTTCTAATGAAATCTTTTTCTTTTTTTTTGATATAGTTATATTATTAACTGATTGAAATGTTTTTGGAATATAGATTTGATGAAGTAATGAATAAATTTAAATATTTTGGAAGACTATATGAATTAGATATTAGATTGTGATACATTTCCATTTAGATAGAGTTTCTTTAAAAGTTCCCTAAATTTTGAAGGCAACCTATAAATTTACGGTAATCAGGTCTTTCTACAATTTACTCGTGCTACGAATATATCGAATATATATCGAATATATTGTATATATAATATATTTAATTTAATATAAAAAAGATATTTCATACCTCAACCTTTGAACCAGAAATTAACTACAGAATCAAAGTAGGAAACTTTAAAAATTGAACTTCAAGCTTAAAATGAAATTAGTGGACGCTTTCTAAAACCCCCTGTTTTAGCATTATATGAGTAACCGTTCTTTTGTATGATGAGTGCTGTGTTTGCAGCTTTAACATGACAACATTTTAATTATATCTTTTTTTTTTTTAAAAGCAGAGAATTTTTCTGGGATGAAACTCAGATCTATAATTATTGCTCTTTCTAAGTAGTTTAAAAATACAAGTATGCTACAGTTTCTTTAAAATAAAATATATTTTTCAAGTCGAGAAAAACATGGGAAAATGTCGGTCACTCTAAAAGCATCATCATATAGTATTCCAGACATCATGAGTTTATTATTTCGTTAATAATGCTCCCAAACTATACAATAGAGCTTGTGAAATATTCTGCAGCAAAAAAAAAAAAAAATAAACCATGCAAAGAAATAGAAAGTAGATTAACCCATTTGGAAGAACGGTAGAGAAGTACGTATAAACCGCGTGTGTAAAGCTCTATTTAAATAGCTTTCGTTTTTACAGTTTTCTCTTTATTTCTTCTGTGCTTGGCTGTTGCTGGCACACTGGTCCAAAAAGTCAGAGTAGGGGCATAGTATTGGATACATGGCTTTGGCAGGACTGCTGGGAAACAATCAATATAAGCACTTTTTATGTACAATATATTTCCAACTCTTGTGTTATAAATAAACCCATTAAGTCGTCAATTAGGAATTTCCACATGCGGTTTGCACTTTCCAAATTTTCCAAAACACTTTAAAGCACTTCAAATAAAATGGGTAACCACTGTATGCCGTCGCTTTATTGGTTTGGTGTGGATGGGCGTTTTGGGACTGCGGTGGCTTTAAGTCGCTTTGAGTGAGGGATTAATGAACATATGTGTGTGTGTGTGTGTGTGTGTGCGAAGGAGTGAGTGAGTGGGGGGCGGGCGGTACTTCTCTCCCTAGGACTGAGCGATGTTTTGCGGCTGCTGCAAGTGCACTTTGCTGTTCGTCCTCTTGGTGCTGGGCCTGGTCCTGGTCCTGGGCTAACTGATTGGGCGCGGCGACGCCATTTTCCCGCAGCTGTCAACAACGAATGGCGCGCATTTTGTGACAATTTGTGCGACGGTTTAGCTGTGACTTTTGGTGGATTTGGCAAAGGTTTCTAATAATGACACATCCGTTCTATTTTTATTTTTGCAGATACTATTTGAATCACAATACGGCGCTGGTAAAGCTGCTCAAAAAGCTGGGATCGCGTCCCATACCACAATGGCTCAAGGATGATTTATCGACGGGCACGTGATAGCAACTGTTTGGCAGCGGCAATGGCGGCAATAAATATCGCAAATTGCGCGCAAAACTCAGGAAACAAATGCATTGGCTCTACATGGTGCAGCAGCCAGAAAATATGCAATGGCCCGATGTCGAGGACAATCAGGTGGGCCATGCCGGTGGAGGAGATGGAGTGGCAGGCGGCGCCAATTGGCAGAGACGGCGGCGACACAGCAGCAACAACAACAGCAGCAATACCGACAACTGACAACAAAATTATGGAATATAATTAGCTGTTGTATTTAAGCATAAATCTTTTTGTTTGCGCCGTCCGTTTGTTGCACGCTAATTAATGTCGTTGCAGTTGTCAGTGGCAGGCGAATGTGTATGTGTACGTGTACGTGTACGTGAATGCGTGTATGAATACAATTAGAACTAAGTGTATACATAGTTGGGTGTGCGTTTGTGTAAATGTTGTGTAAATAGGCTATGTGATGAATTTTGTATGCTAAAAATTAACAATACATAATTATGTATAGCATAAGTAAATAAATGTGTTGGCGCGTTGTTAGTACTGTTCGAAAGCCTCCTAAAACTCTGGGCCTGTCGTTTGCCATGTTCGCCAATTTAATGAAAGAATAGCAATAAAACTAATTAAGTTGCCACTGTCTGTCGTAACGGCATTTTATTCTGTTCTGATTACCTCACAATTGTATTTGATTTTAATTTCTGCATAATTCCGAAAAGACTAACAACCTCAGAGTTAAAGATTGACAAACCGCCTCACCTGCAGGTAGTCAGCAACATATTTTAGTTTTTAAATTCATGAGAACATTGAAACATAACGCCAAACTTGTAAACTTAGCGAAAAAAAAGGCAAAAAAAAAAAAAAAATATGCAACAAATTGCTTTGCGAACGCGCCAAGTGCGCTGCATTATAATTAAGGCTGCTTTAGTCTATAAGTGTATAGAAAAGTTACATTGTAAACCTTGTAAAAGTCACAGTAAAATACACAGGAAGGAAAAAGCGCAGCACTGGGCCTCTTCAACGACTAGCTTCAATCGGAGCACGGAAGCTGCTTGAAAAACTCAGCAAAATTCTAGTTGTATGTTAAAGCACTAAGCAAAGCTCTACATATTAATATATAGATATATAGTAGATATATATTGTATAGTTGATATATGCATAGAATAGAACAAGTTTAGATCCGTAAAGCGACAATAATAAAAGCGAAAAATTATTGCAAATACAACAAGGGGAGTATTTCTGATTTTATAGTGGAACATAACAAATAATTAAACTGACAAAAATGGAGGTAAAATGTTCCGCTGGTCGCGAATTCACGTGAATCACAAAAAAACCGAAAAACTACATTTCTGCAAAAGCGGTATAGTTTTAAAAATAAAACAACTGTTAGATGGCGCGCCATCTCTTATTATATCGATAAGTGTTGACTCGATATCGATATACTCAACATCTGGTGTATGTTCTTATATATGAAAGGTTGGAGTCCTTGCTATGGTGCGAGTATGTGCTTTTACGATGTTTTACTATCAAATGCTGCCAGCCTTAGCCTGTGTGCGCAAATATAGTAGCAGTCAGCTTGAAAGCACATGCTCGCTAATTTGAATAAACCGTACCAGTGCAGCGCTGCCACATAGTTAAAAAGAGATGCATTGCGTTTGCTAGTATTTTTGGTATTTCAGGCACTAAGTATTTTTTGATAGTCCTATTTTGGTTACACTTTGCTTTCATGCTCTGTATTTATGTCTTGACTTTAGAACGCGCGGTTCGCGTGCGGCTGTATAAACTACTAATGAAGCTTTAAATATTAAATATTTAAATAATACAATTATATTTAAAAATATACAAAACAAATAAAAAGCCGCAAGGTGAGTCACCAACTAAGTGATTCGTCGCCAAAACTGCCACCTAAGAAGCCGCTACTAGTGCTGCTGTGTTTGTGACTTCGTCGTCGTCCGTAAAATTCCAATTGGAATTCAGCGGCAGCGGTCTAAGCTTAATTTATCTATAAGTAGTGAAATAAAAGTGCATAGTAACAAATAAATAAAAAATTAATGCCAAATAAGTGCTCGTTTTTCTTACAAGAGGGTCGTGTATCAACGACCGCAGCAGCTTTAGAATAAATAAAGAAACCGGTAATTACTTTGTTTTTTGCTTTGTAGTTTTGCGTGTTGTGTGTCTCATCTTCCCTTTTGGCGCCGCCTTTGTTGTTGTTGCTATTGTTGTTGCCGTTCACAGTCGCTGTTGCATTTTCTGGGCACATGGGAGAGAGAGAAAAAGTTCTGTTTAACAAGTTTGCATTGAAGTTGTTTAAATTGAACGTCAACTCTTTCTTTTTATTTTATCATTTTAAATTTGATCTAATTCGTGGACCATTGTTTTAAAATTCAAAATTAACCGCCAACTACATTTAAGCCACACAATTCTTACCTCAACCAGGAACAGTATACATATACATACATATGTGTGTTTTTGTTGTTGAATTTCAAAATTTAAGGTGAAAATTAGAGCAAAGGCCGCCCAGCTTTAAGACTCATTTGTTTAATTTAACAAAATTGCGTGCTTTATTTTGACGGCCTAGACACTTTAATTAGCATTATCAGTTAGCTAAACAAAAAGTTCATACATACAACTACAACAACGATAGCAACAGCCAAAACAACAACAACACCAACAACAGCAACAGCAAGAGCAATAATTCTCTCTAGAGAACTTACTCATTACAAGAGACACATGTTGTTTACGCTTTTGAGTCATACCGCATAGTCGTTGTTGTTATTGTTGTTAACCCGCGTTTATTGTGGCATGTTTAGAGGCGTGGCAAGTGGCCGCAGGAAGTGCGAAAGTTCCTTTGTTCGTCTGTGTGTGTGTGCGTATGCGTGTGTGTAAGCTGTGCGAAGAAGCAGCAACAGTTTAAGCCAAAAACGAAACAACCGGCTACCAACCAACCAACAAATCCACCCACCAACAACAACAACAAGAACAACAACAGCAACATGCCAAATGTTGTTGTAAGCAGTTTCCGTATGCTCCTGCATTGCACGAGTCGCCCACAATTTGGACTTTGTGGCATGCGCCTAACACCGGTCACGACCTTCGCGCTGGTAAGTCTATCAAAAAAAAAAAACAATTTGGCTGAGGGGTTGGGGACCACACTCCAGGGGAGCAGCAGGGCGAGCGAACGGGCTGCAGCTGTCAGCGTTGGCCTCTCTATATAGAGAAATTTATAAAAATATACACTTGTTTTACTTTCGTTTGAGTTCTTTTGATTCAAAATAACTCACTGAATTTATTATATACATATACATATGTACATATGTGTGTGTAAACATGCGTGTGCTGACGTCGGCCCGTATGTTTGTTTGCTTGTTTGAAACATACATCCATATATACATATGTATTTTTGTTGGTGTGGTGTGTGGGCACATTTTTTAAATTATTAAAATTTATGTGCACACCAAACGCAAAATCGAAATGTAGCAGATAAATATATAATTGTACATACATATATACGTATGCACATGCGAACAAACAAATACATACATATATTCATTTGTATACAAGTATACAATACATACAGAAGTGCTAACGCAAATATGTTCTAGTATGTTGTATTTGCTGCCAAGTTTCTTTATTTACGCTGTTTTGCTTTTGCTTCTCTTGAAAGGGTATACTAGAAAGCCAAATCGCGAAATGTATGTAAAAGACAGAAGGAAGCGTAGCAAATCTCTTGTTAGAAGGTAAATATGTACATGTATGTATATATGTACATTTGTAGATTAGTGTGTTGGCATAGACCTGTTCGTCTGTATCAACACCGATAATATATTATCATAAGATAGATCGACAAGTAGAGTACATATTTTTGTTCATTAATATATCTTTACAAAATTTGACATTTGATTTTTACAGTATACAGTACATATGTATGTATGTATATTCAAAAGGCGGGCTCGCGCGGCTTTAAAGCTGTAGTTTTTTGTTTATTGTTGTTTATTTTTTGCACATTCCCAAAGCCCAGACGACCTGGCAGCAGCATCAGCAGCGGCTTGAAGCAACTTTCGCAACTCTCTCCCTCTCTCTCTTATTACTCTCTCTACTTTTGCTTCCACTACTCTCTTCAATTTTTGCAGTGTTGCCAATTTAGCTATTTTAACGCCAGTTATGGAGGTTTAAAATGTATAACTCAAATCAAAAAACCAAAAAATATGAAATTGGTAATTTACACATTTTTAAAAATTAGTTTTATTTTTAAGATTAAAGTACCACTATATCATGTAGAAGTAATAAATACAAATGTCGTGATTTTAGACTCCTCAAGTCATATAACTATCTAACATACTTGTATATAACTAAAGCTAAAAGCGTAAATACTCTTACAAACGAAAACAAAGCAAACTCGGAACGGGGCAGGTCAGATTATTTATAGGAGGGATAACAATGCAAAATTCTCTTCTTTACCGCATTATAATTTTCAATTGCTTATCTAGCGTTTATTTACAGCCAACAATCGGCAACACCAAATTGTTGACGCATAAAACTTCGTTTGAAGTTATTGTTGCTGAGCGCGTGATGCGCTCTCTCCATATCTGTCTGTGTGTTTAACTTGTTGTTGAACTTGGCACCTGCGCGCCTCTTCTGCCAAAACACAGCACCAAACAAAAAAACAGCTGTCAGAATTGCTTAGCAGAAGGTCCAATGAGCGACATTTTGATGAAGCGATGAGGTGGGGAGCATTGTTTATTATCGTGCCAACCATTTAAGTGTCAGAGAACAAGTGCAGTGACCGTCAAACTGCGGAATTGTAGGGCTTTAACGAACAGAGATAACATACAGCCCCTATCTACATATAGACTATATACTGTGTACAAATAAATATTAAATCAGATGGCTTCGTTATCTACTCACTTATGCCGAGAGCTTAGCCTACCACAACTGGGTTATAGTGGGGCTAGCCCGACTGTCAAATATACTGTATCAGCATACCTCAAATGATAGGGGACTGTCGGTCCGATGTTTCGGAATACATACATACATACATAGTTCAAGTATGTACATACATACATAATGCATGTATCACAACTGGTAAGGTTTAATCAACAATTTTTTAAGAGCATTGCTGTCTATGGTATCTTAATTATCGTACTTTTGTTTTCGGCCTAGCACATTTTTCCTCATTTCTATTCTTTTATTTTCTGACATTTATGAGTGGGGTCCTTTTTTTCTGGATAAATAAAACATGCACATTTACATACTATATACTTGTAAGTATGTACATACTTATGTTGAATGTTCTCAACAATTGGAATTTATTCCAAATTCCTGAAAATTAACTCATATTCGATTCTAAACTATATTCTTTATTTATTTATGCGAGAATCTGTAGAAAAGCATATTGCCAATTTTTACAACAAACAAAATCTTAAAACATTATAAAACAAAATTTAATATTAAAAGAAACGCAGCAATACGGTATAAAGTATTACTTATCTCTAAGACTACATTCAATATTTGCTGTAACATATAGTCATAGAACATATTGAATCGATGATACTTAGCAAATAACATACAAGTAATTGGGAGTCTTTATTGATATGTTTTTAGAATTTTTGTTAAATTTGCAATAAAATCCCTAACCTCCATTTTATTATTTCGGTATTTAAATGAACAGTGTTAGCCCACACCCCACTACGAATGCATAATAGAATATATAGGTATTTAAAAAGCTATTCCTATATTCTATATGTTATTTTAGACAACACGTGTGTATGTTTGTATAACGGATATTGATTGTTTCTTTGCCTTTAACTTCGATTTCAGAGCATTGACCGAACAACGCACAAGCCGGTCGCGCGCTTCTGACCCGTTTCGAGTTTGCATTCTGAACTTTTTGGCATTATGCGTGTACCATGTGACTTGTTTATCGCATCGGCGCACACGTCAATTTCAGTTTCAGCGATTAAGCCAAAATTCTGTCTCAGGTGAGACATTTAAACGGAAAACGCAGAACAGCAGTGGCAAGGAGTGGGGAAAAGCGAAAGGAAAGGAATCGTTTGCCCATAACATGTCTTGTTATTTCAAATGTGATTTGCATACGAAATGATTTAAATTATTGCTTTATGGCGCAAGCCGGTGGTGTGGGGTTTCGCCTTTATTTGTGTTTGTATATTTGTGTTTGGATTGAGAGTGGTGCGCAAACAAACAAAACAAAAAAAAAAAAAAACAAAAAAAAAACAAAAAAAAAACGCTCGCACGAACAACAAAGTGTCAGGCCGGAAAAAAGTTTTTGTCAGCGCAGCTTTAAGGTTGGGGAGGCGCCGGTATGACTGAGAGTCATTGTGTCGACGTCATTTGACACTCACGAGAGATACCATAACGGCATTATTTGCATTAAAGCAGGTTGTTGTTTAATTCATGGGGTTGAACATTGTAAGGGTATAGTGTTTTGGTGGGTAAGCTTGTAACACTCATAAGAAACAATTATAGATCACATGTTATCAGTCACTGTTTCTACGAAGATCCCTTTTTCATATTCTTGGCATTCTGATTTTGATAAGAAATTAACTCAAGACTGATTTTATTATGTGGCAGGCCTGCGGCCTCACCCATATGGTAGCACTGTTGGCTCTCTCATGCCGCAGTCTCTCACTACTGTAACGGTAAATACTCTCTAGTTTGTAATGCAAGTCTGTTGTCTGCGAGCAGCGATAAATTTAGTCCACGATCAAGTGAATAACACATTTGTTACGATTCTGCCACACCGTCAGTGTTTTATTTGGTGTTACATTCTTTTGCTTTCCACAATTATTATTTTGATTTAATTTTAAATGTGTTTCTTTGAAATTATTGAAACCTTACCTTTAGTGTTATTTTTAATGAATTTTATTTAACTAGATTTCGATTTCTTATCAAAATTAGTTACAGAAAAACCACTATTAAGTAGAAATCAGTATATATAATAAAACTATCATAGAGACGATTGGATTTAGGAAGACTTGTGTCTAAGAAAAAACGTTTTTTATAAAAGATTAAATATTTCGAACATAATATAAGGATGCAGTAGAATGTGGTAAGGCACAGTAAAGGGTATTTAGCTGCGATGATAACCTTACAGCTACATTTTTTCCCTGTGTTTGTGTAACTGTTGGCGCACTTTTTGTGTCGCTTAATTCACATTTACTTTGGCTTCCGCTCTTGTAATGCTGATTAAAGTCAACATACAACTAAATTGATAGGCTCTTGCACCCTAACACTAACACTAACACACACACACAAACACTACACACGTACACACCCATGTATCTAAAGTTGGCAAAATTGCGGCTAAAGTCAAGGGAGAACACATCTTAGATGAGCTTTAGCCTGCCATAAATTTTGTGCGCACGTTTCTGCTCCACTTTTGGGCCCCCAACTTCATTTCTCCTGCTGACCTCAACTCTCCGGCCCGGCCGACGAGTTTGTTTTGCTCATTTTTGAGGCTATAGTTGCAAAAATGAAACGCCGGACGCGCCGACCAAAGTTGCTCTTCGACGCTGCTCTTTTGTTTTTGTTTTATTTTTGTTGTTGTTCTATGGAGCTGCCTTTTCCATTTGCGTTCGAATAGCATGAAAAAAGTTTTATTGGCGCCATTCGGTCTGCCTCGAAACACAGAAAATGTGTGCACAGTGCTCATATAGACCCGCCTCTTGCGTTTCCTCCCCCCTTACCACTTGCTCACCAGCTAACCATTTCCACAAACTATTCAGCTCAGCTTTTTGGAGCTCGGGCGCGTCTCAATGAATGGGACCTTGTTTTGGTTTGATTTTTTGCATTGTGAGCGTAGTTGGAGTTTCTGCTTTATTTATAAATACATATGTACATATGTATATCCATGAGCATATTTATGTTTGTGTACACATACAAACATACTCTGCAATTGCCTGTAAAGAGTATATTAGCGGATAACCAAAGCTTGTAATGAGTATAGTGCAAAAAAAAAACATATTTTTTAAAAACGCTTAAACATGTAAACAATTTAGGCTCTCAAAATAAATGTTTTAATGACCGATGTATGGATGTGAGTTCTTTGAGGAACTACAGAAATTTAAAAACTAAATATGTACTG